GAAAAAATATTTTTTTAATAGGAATAAATAAATTTGATATTAAATTTAAAGAATAAAATAAATGTAATTTTTTAAAAATTACTTATTATTTTAATTAACTTGCATATATTATTTTAAATCATTATATATAAATTAATTTAACAATGAATATTTTAAAACACAGCTAATTCATATATTATTAAAATATTTACAGATATTTTCTTTTATTTATGATGCATCTAGATAGAAAATAAGGAGTACATGTAAGCAAGCAACTTAAAAACAAAAATAGAGAGAAAATATCAAAGCCGTTTTGATAATAATTAATGTTACTTTATTATATTATAAGCCTAAAATGTAAAGAATATAGATAGATATTTCTTTATTCAATCTAAGAAAATTACATTTAAGAAACAATATCTTGAATTCAGTATTCATGTGATCTGTTCTTCTTTTGCTCTGTAATTTTGCTTTATAAATATCCTAGATAAATATTCATTACTATAACAAGATCATGATGTTTTCGCTCATTAGTCTCATTATATTCTGTATAAATTAATTAATTATTCTAATAAAGGACACGCAATTAATTACTGTTATAAATCACATAAATATTCTTTATATGTGTACATACATAGAATAAATGTTCATGTTTATATATTATTATAAAATTTGTTGATTAACTTAATTATGTAATTGTAAAAAAATGCATAATCTAATTTAAAGCAAAATTATATTCAAAACGCGTCATAAAAAATGTATTATTATAATAAAATCGGAATGAAAAATTCAGAAAAAATTTGATTTTGCGACATTTTAAAAATTCATATCTGTCATTTTGATGAGCACTTTCACAAAACGACAATAAAAATATAATCTAATTGTATTTTCAAATATAATTCGACATATAGAAAGTGAATAAACTATACCACTATACCACTAAATTCCCATAAGGCTTTTAAGGCTAATATCAATATCTTGCAGAGAACATAGGCTGAAGAGGATAAAGCCTCTTATAAGCGATATATAAAACGACATATGGCAATAAACTATAACTTATAAGGCTGTTTCTGATTGATAAGCTATAAGCCTCTTATATGCAGCTATCATATGCTTCAAGCAAAGGATACAAGCCTATAGGCTATAAAATGGATAACTCATCGCGTAGCCGAACATAAAATTTTGATTAAGTGATATTTAATACGATAATGCTGCATCTTAAATAGCATTGTATTAGGTGTAAAATATCATTATAAATTTCGAAAATTTCTATAATTATTTTAAGTTTAAAGTTATATATATATATGTAATTTAATTCTAAAATTATTATAACAATTTTCTAATGAATATTTTAAAATTTTATCATTAAATATACGTACAGTACATACATACAATTAATTTTTTAGAAAGTTAATTTTAATGAGAATTTAAATGTATTAAAGATTATATAGAAACACGTCTTTGTTTAAGATGTTAAATTATACTTTCATCTTAGATTATCTGAGAAATACTTTATATCAACACATCCATTAATAAAGTAACCGGTTAAAGAATGAGTCTGTCTGTCTATTGTCGGAAAAAAACTTCGAGATAGATTTTAAGTTTCTGGTAATATCCTTTTAGGTAAATCGAAGTTTAGAGGATTAAGAAAAATAAGTGATTTTTCACTGCAAAATATTGAAAAAAAAACAAAAATATCTTTTCACTTTAATGTCTGTTTTGCTTAAATACATTAACGTTTTTCAATTTAAAAATAAGATTTTTAATAGTAGATTTAATACGATTTTAAATACTTAATTGAATTTTAATCATTTATTTTATTAAAAATAAATAAATAAATAATAATATCGAGAATATAACATAAAGATTTATTATATCATAGTATTAGAAATACTAAATAAATATTTGCATATTATGCATTATAATTGTGGAGAATATAATCGTGATTAGCCTGAAGGAAAATTGGGATTGCGTTTGTTAGCTTTAACACATTGTATGTACCAAAAGCAATGTTTATCCATTGCAGCAAATACCGTGCTATTATGTTATTAAATTATTAAATGTCAAGGTAGATTCTAATTTTATTTTATTTTTTTTTTGAAAAAGAAAGTGTAAAATTAAATATTTATTTAAATATTTTTGAATTTAAAATATGATGTTTTAATTTATTACGCAATTAAAATGATTTTCATTAATTTATATACAAAAAGGGTATGTTTATTATATTTTAAATTACTGTAACTAATGAAAACATTTTATGAAAATAAGTTTAATTGTAAAATGACAGTATCACAAAGAAATCTTATTTTCGCCATTAGAGGAAAATGTACTGATCGCCGGATGACATTAAAGGCTTGAAAAACAAATTAAAGTTCATCGATGGAAAACAGAGGATTATTTTTCGAATATTAAAATTTTGTTTATTAAAATTTTACTTTATATATTTAATTTAAATAATTCTAAATTTCTCTCGTTTTGATAAATTTGTCGATTAGTTATAATAACTGAAACGTGTATTTAAATTACTAACTAAATTATAAAAATATAGTGTATATATATATATATATACTTTAAAGAAGAAATATGTATTGTTTAAGTTAAAATGCGGCTAAAATTGGCTTTTGTAAAATAGCTTACATTAGGGAATATTCCCAAAGTGAAGATAATCACAATTTAAATTAATAACCCTCATTGAGTTTAATTAAACGAGAACATAGGAAGCTCATATGCAGTTTTCCACTTTAAAGTTATTAGAGACAAAATAGGTCTATAATATATAATAAATCATTATCATTTCAATAAATTTAGTTTGCTCTCAATTTCTAATTAATATATTTGTTTTCATGACGACATTTATAGATTTTTTTTTTATTGTTGAGATATGTGCTAAGCGTTTTAAGTAAATCTTGTTTCATTAAAAAAAGAAATTTATATATATAGTTAATCAATTTTTAGCGTGTAAATTTACATCCGATCATGCAATTTTATGCTAAAATATTTTCTCATATATTTAAGAAAAGCGAACATTCTTTTAATGATGCTTTCTCGTGCCACAAACTGACCAAAAGGATTAAGCTAAAGGAGGAAAAGTTGTTTTGCTTCTACTAACTGTAGTGGCGCCAACATGGAACATTGAACTAAATCCACTAGAATTAACGGTAGATTACAAGTGTAATTGTTTCTTAATTGCTTCCTGTCGTTCAAATTTTACTGGAGAAAATCACGAGGACGTTTCATGCAAGAGATTAGATAAACTTTGACATCAAAATGACGTCAGAGATGGAGAGTTATTACTGGTGATGATCAGGAGTCATTATGAAGAGTGTCTTAGCGAGAAAATCCCATTTAAATTTTCAGTTTATATAATATTTTATATAAAGAATTAAATATTATATCGATTTTGAAAGTTTCTATCAGACTTCGTATTAATTCTCTGCTTAGAAATAAATTTGTTTTACACCAGGAATAAATTTCATTCTGTTGTTTGTCACAAACCATAAATTTTAAATTGTGCAAGTAATATATTTTCAAAATTGAAAACATAAATAATAAATGTGTTTACTTTTGTAAATACGTATATAAATGAAACTAGAAATTCACTAAAAATTAGAATTTTACAAATAGAAATTTATAAGAAATGAAAGACAAAGTTAAAAGAATATATAAATATTACGAGAGAAACATTAAACTTATTGAGAAAATGAAAAGTTATTTAAAAAGAAAAATCAATGAATAAAGTAAATAGAGTGTAAATTTTGGAAACGGAAAAAGATGAAAGATATAATAAAATAAATAAATATAATAAAGTATAAATATGATATTTTAGAAATAAAATTGATATAAATTTAAAAAAAATTTAATAAAAATATATGTAATTAAACTTAAAATTAAATTTTCTTCTTGAAAAGAATATAAGTTTAATGTTTTTTCAAATTATAAAATTTATTGTTTAAACCTAATGAATATTTTCAAATTTACTCACCATTTGCAGGAGCATAAATATTAAGATAAAGGCAATCCTCGCTTTGATTCCTTAGATAAGGTAGTAGTCTTTTGAGATATTCTAATCTTCCTGTAGGCATTCGTTTCAACGCTTCTGTTTCGTTCTTTATATCAGGGTATCTCTGGGGGCAAACAGGACCAAATCTATTTGACGTTCTTACAGATCTCCAATGAGATGGTGTCACCGGAGGCATGAATCTCAAAGATCCCACAGGGGCACTAGCATAGGGCACACCTAAGTATATTTCTACAGGTTGAAGATGTCTGTTCGGAAGTGTTCGTAGAATACCCTGAAGAGCACCATATTTCGTATTAATAACGCGAGACAGAGATTCTCGACCGGAGACTGAAGTCCCAATAAGAAGAATAATGAAAAGAGTGTAAAGTTGCATCTCGTCGATCTTAACTATCCATTCATGTCAAGAAGTACGTCCAGATCGTTAAGGTAAAGTGCGTAAGTTTGGTAATTAGCTAGGATGTACTTGACTACCCCAATCTTTCCGTATCGATGCGTCCATACTTAACTCGCATCTAATGAGTTGCATCTTGTTCAATTTGACATTCAGAAGAGGTGAGAGAAGATGAGAAAGAGAAAAACTCTAAGTAACAAGTTGATAAAATCGAATATTTTAGAACTTAAAATCCACTGTTCGTTACTATCACTTTAGCAAAATTATTGATTTGAGTGATGAGAAGAAATTCCTAAAGCAGGTGAGTGTAAATACCTTTGATTTCGATTATATAAAGGTAGTGAACCAAACAGTCTGAAACGAGATTAAACACATACCTTACTCCGTCACAAATAGTAGTAAAGTCCTTTAACGATATAGTGCCACCTGTAGAACCACTATACTGCGGCACACGTGTCTATATCCTACTCTCAACAGCCTGCTTCTAACGGTACGACAGTGACTAGATGTGGTATGTTGAGTAGAGAGAGCATGCCCAGTGCACAGAGTCGATTCCATTCCTCCTTCGGTGGGAACTTGCTTGTAGCGAAGTCTATGTTTGCGAGATAATCGTCACATTCTGAAGAATATCACCAAAGCGATAGTCTCCCAGCGAGACTCAATGAACAAGTTACATTTTAAAAATGTAAATATATTACTAAAATGATAACCATTAACATAGGAAATAGATTAGTCCATATTTTATAAATTCTTTAAAAGCTTCTTTCTTCTTTTTATCCATTACCGACGATGTATTTAAAGAAGAATCCACAATGTTAATATATCTCCAAGGATTTGTAATTTTGTTTTTTCTCTTGTAGTTCCTTAATGATTTTACATTTTGCAACCGAGATAGATATTCAAACCACTTGGCAATAAACTTGATAAAACGGAATGTTTATTGTTACGAATAGGTAGATGCTCTGCTATTTAGTAATATGAAAAAGCAAAGAAACGATAAAAATTCTCCAAAACAACTTTTGGCTAAATTCCAGACGAAGCTAAGGGATTTCTAAAATTGTACAAGTTGTTAATATCTAGAAAAGACACAATCTTTCTTTATTGTTTTCTCTTAGATTTTTATATGATCAATATTCCATTATAGGATATACGGCATATTATTGTTTACTTATGTAATTAATCATATATAATGCTAAGAAATATAGAAACATAGCTAAAAAATACTTTCGATAATTAAAACAGTTTTAATTACTTAATAAAATTCATCTATATTTATTAATTTTAATTTTACGCTTATTTAAAATTAGATTTATTTTATATAATTGAAAAAAAAACTTTATAAAAATTTAAGAAATAAATTTTAAATTTTGATCGATAATTTAAAAATTTTTAAAAGCTAATTTTAGCAATATATCCATCAAGAGAATTGTATAATTTGACTATTTTCAAGATGGTGAGACTTCTCTACTCTGGTAAACGATATTTTGCGTGCTTATGTAAAATAATGTTTGACAAATTATCTAACGCATAATGAAAGTTAATAACTTATAATTTACTTTTAAATCAAATATTACAGTGTATTTTGTTTAAAAGTAATTTAATTGTACGTAATGATACGTTGAGAAAACATACTAAAAATTTCGCAAGAGATGGCGCCACAGAGTTGATTCTCAAATTTTCATTATTTATTAATTTTTTTCTAGTATAGTTGTCCTTTCCCCCTCTATTTTTAAGCAAAAAATATAAATTATTTAATCCTTAATACATAAGTATTAAGGATTAAATAATTTATTAAAAAATAGTAAATAATCACATAATATATAATCTACTTTCATGGTTAGAATTCTTATAATATATTAATAATTGTTTACGTTTTAAAATAATTTTTAATAAGATAAATTTAAATAATTTATATTTGTTTATCAACTATTCTAAAATTTTATATAAAATTTTAAAAATTAATTTTAATTAAAAAATGAAATTAATATTATTGAAGATTTATTTAAAAATTTTATAAAAATAACAACGAATTTAATTACTAAAACTAATATATATACAAATGTAAATGAATTATTAATAATGAAATTTAAAATTTATTAATTATCAGAAACATGAAATTCAATTAGATTATGACAAGCAAAATCGTTTATTTAAAATTTATAATTTTAAATGAATAAAGTTGAGTCAAATAATGCATAAATAAATAAATAAATAAATTGATTTAAAAAATGGTTATTTAGTCCTTTAAAACTATAAATAAACACTTTAAATAGTAATTACATTAATTTTAATTTATAAAAGTATCTTAGTTTTTGCTATATCGATTCATTCTGTTCCTTTAAAAGCAATGTATAAGTCAAGAGTTAAGCTTTCTACGGTTGATTACTTAATTATTTTAATTATTAATTCAACAGTGTACATCTTATAAAGCTTATAAAATATCTATAAATAGAATTTAAATTATTAAAAACTTTCAAAACTTGATTTTAAGATTAATAAAATCGATATAACCCATAATCGAGATAGACTTTTGCTCTGTATTTTACAATCAATATATCGAGTAGGTTTCAAGAGAATTTGTTACCCAAGTAAAAAATCCCAATGCAATATTTTATATTCATAGTTATAAATAAGAAATATGGTGAAATGAAATATTTTTGCTTCAAAAATGTCAAATTTATTTTAGTTAGAGACAGATGTTACGTTGTTTACTACTACCACGAAAGAAGAAGAGATAAGAAAGAGATTGAACTGATATTTTCTGTATGACATTTAAATACAACATATAAAATATACATCAAAATATGAATTATAATGTAACAGATATGTTTTGATCCCAATGTAAGGCGAATTTTCTTTTAATGTGTGACACATTTCTAAGCTCGAAACATAAATTCATAAATTGATAGTTTTGTATGATACCAGAAGAAAATATTTCTTTGTAGTATTCTATTAAAAATTTTTTTTATATATATTTATTTAATTACCGGAATTTAATTATATTGCTTTAATATCGAATGTTGAGAATTGAAAGGTCAGTTATCGCTCAATGGATTTTAAATAGAAGAGAAAGCACGAAATCAAGAGGATTATTCAAAGGATTCGTCTCTCATTCAGAAATACTTCAATAGAAAATAGTAAACATCTTCAAAACTATCCAGAATCAAGTTGAAGATCCAAAAGAGAATCTTTTTATATGATAAAAAATGTTTCTGTTGCATCTTTTAAAAGGAGCATTTCTTGTTATTTTTAAGGTCAAATCACCCAGTTTTCTAATAGAAAACGTTCAACGTATAATATTTTACTTCACTTGGAGAATTTCAAAATAATCTTTTATTAATATTTAAAAAAAAAGGAAAAATTATTCCGTGTAAATATATTTGCAAATCATTCTCTACAATAGAAATTAATTATATATTTTGTTAACATTTTTCAAAACAACTCTGTTTTTAACTTAATTTAATATATTTTGTTTCATCGCTTTCTGCATTTAATATAGGTAAAGAAATTTTATCAATTTTGCAAGAAATATAAATATTAAATTGATAAAATGAATTCGCCTGTTATTTCGATAGTATCGAGTAACATTAATTAAAAACTTTCGTAAATAAACAAAAAAACTTAATAAGAAATAACGCAGTTGAATGAACGAAGATGTGTTTCAAATTACATTGAATAATAATATTGTGTATATTCTTTTAAAAAGATCTGTTGTGATTTATTGTTATGTTTGATAAAAGATTTCTTTCATATTCCAGCAAACAAAATCTGGTGATAAAGATAGTAAAATATTCATCTTGTTTGGCTTAGTTTTATGCAGAAAACGTATTCGAAAACTCTCTCATGACTACAAAATTACAGATTTATGACTTTATTTTATTTTTGCATGAATTTTTTCTCCGAAAACAACACGATTTTTTTTTGTTTGTTGTATTTTATGCCTTATATTTCTTCTCTAACCTTATAAAATAACGTTATCACTACATTTATTTTCTTTATTATACTTTTAATAATTATTTCAAGCAAGGTGTATGATTCTGGAAAAATTATTATTTCAAATTGTTTCCGTAGAACAGTAGGCTATTCATATATTAATATACTAGATATATATTATATTTATTAAAAAATATTTTTTAAATAAAATAATCTTACTAATACAAAAATAATTTTTAACTCATTTATAATGTACGTCTACTAAAACAACTATATACTATAAAAATAAAATAAATTCGTTTTATTTCCATTTATAAGCATATAAAATTATATAACCTAGCTTAAACGTAAAATTCCAATTTCATATTCCTATTTTAAAGATTTATTTGACAGAAATTTTTATACGAGATCATAACACGATTCATATACATTTTATAATAAAAGATATTCTGAGCATAAAAACACAAATAACCTTTATTTAAAATAAACTTTTTTTTTAATTAGATTATTTTAATAACGAAGAAATTTATCATACAATATTATGTATAAAAATATTTTTCTTTATTTGTGTGTTTGTTTATCTATTTACACGTAGATCTACAACACAAAATCTAAAAAAACTAAAGTATTTCTATTTACTCAGAAGAATTCGAAATTTTTTTATGTCCACAGTTATTAATTAACGATCCAAGAAATAAATTCCCCAAAATTTTGATTTTTTTAATTTTTTACTGCACATTTTTTACTTTAAAAACTATTAAATAAATTAAATTTTTATTTACGAATCCCTTTAAATTGATGCAAATTATCGAAGATACATTATAATTGAATTTACATTTTTATTTAAAATTAATATCAGTTATCTCTAAAACATTTTGTATGTAAATTTTTTAATGGTTATTTAATATTTTATATATTATCAATAATTTTTTAAAGAAGAATCGTTTGATATAGCCTCTATATATATACGTGAATGTGTTCGAAATTATCTGAAATTTAATTTTAGTTGTTTTTGTTTACGTTAATTCTGTACGTTGTTATTCGGCTTGGATAGAAACATGAAATTTTCGTAAAACTCGAGTTTTGTATTATATAAAAAAATCATATAAAATGTGAAATTTTTATGTGACATTACGGTAGAGATTTTAAGAGTTCTTTACTTAGATTTTAAGAACTTCGAAAGTAGAAATAAAATTTTCATCAAGGAACAGATAAACACAAATTTCTGTTAAATTTTTATTCAAAATTTTAAAATAATCTCATAATATTATTGATTTTGTTAATAATTTTAGTCAAGACAAAATTATATACTGCAAATATTACACATTTATATAATATTCAATATTTTACTTCTGCATTATTAATTTTTATTTTAAATTATTTTCATATATTAAGAATTTCCACAATTAATTATTAAATTCATATTTTAAACTACCCTATTTAATAAACTACAGACTGAAAATGTAAATAATATATAAAAATTATAAAGCATAATTATTTATTATTATCAGGTATTTCTTTAATAGACA